CTGCCAGAGACATGTGGTGACAGCAACTCTTGCCCTGGCTCTCATAGAACCCTAGTGTTGCTGGGACCAAGTGGGGTGGTGGCATTCGTGGGCATTGATGCTGCTGTTTTGAAACCTGATGGAGGGAAAGTTTCCAGGGACTGTCACCCATTTCATTGGGCTTCAACTCTTGCTAGTGAGGTGAATTTTCCTGTCATATTAATACACAAAATTTGATTTTGAGTAAGAGCATTTGAAATTGCACAGAGCACACAGTATGAAGTTAGGGGGCTGAGTTTCAGACTTATTGCGAGGGTTACAGCAGATGTTCTAGCCCGTTAATCAACTGACCCCAAGCAGGAAAAGGGTAAATAACAACCAAGTCAAGAAACCAATAGGAAGCACCTGTGCCTTGAGACTTACAATCTGGAGGCAAGCTCCTTCCTTTTTGTGTTGTTTCCAGACACAGGACAGTGAAAAACTTCAGTTCTCAGCCTTGAACGCCTCGTGGGTTCTGGAGGTGCCACCACTACAGTTCAACACCTAGGAGGCTGGAGGATCATGAGTTCAAGTCCAGCTAGAGCTACAAGTCCTGATGAGCTGGGCAAAGAGAAGTCTGTGGGCTCTTGAGAAGAGTTTATTTTTTGAGAAGACACAGGAAAGACACATCAGAACACACAGAGATGAGGACTCTGTGTCCTTAGTAGGGAATGCACTGCTGCCTAGAATTGCTTAAGGAGCAGAGAAGGAACTGAGCAAAAGAGTCACAAACCCTCCACCATGTCACTCTTTCCAGAGGTCTTAGATGACCCCTCAAGACAAGGAGGCCTGTCCCCTGACCTTGAGGAGATGCCCCAGAGCCCTGGGCCTGGCGTTTTCATGACACATCAACCAACTATGGATAGCTCAGGGCTCAAAATAGCTGGAAATCAACACTAAAACTGGGGCTTCTGAAGGGAAGCCCTTGAGAAAGGGAAATCAAAATTTAAAATGTAGACCCTCTTAAAATAAGAACATAGGGATAGGAAAACTATCAACGACTTCTTGACGTGAACAGCACTGGTTAGTCCCTTTATTGAAAGATCATGGGATCTTTCAGTCTATCATTTATACATTTGTTTTCCATAATTGGCCAGATATTAAATTATTCATGAAGAAATAGACTTAAAGCCAGGCTTGGTAGTTCACGCCTACAATTCAAACACTTAGGAGGCAGGAGGATCATGAATTCAAGTCTAACCAGAGCTACAAAAGGAATTCATGCTAGTCTGGACTGTATTTAGCAAGATCCTATCTCAGAAAAAGAAAGGAAGAAGGAAGGAAAGTAAAAAAGTGAAGAAGGAAAGAAGGAAGGAAGGACGAAAGGAAAGAAAGAAAAAGAAAGAAAGGAAGGAAGGAGGGAGGGAGGGAGGGAAGAGGGAGAGAATGGAAGAGGGAGGGAAAGGGGGGATGAAGGCAGAGGGAAGGAAGGAGAGAGAAGGAAAGAGAAAGAAGGAAGGGAGGGAGGGAGGCAGAGAGGGAGGGAGGGAAAGAGTAAAAGACAGAAAAAGAGAGAGAATGGTGGTTATGACCAAAATGGCTGAAATCAGGTCAAGCTGGATTCTAGATCCTTCATCTTTAGGCGAGCATTTTCCTTCTAGATCTGTTCTTCAGACTTCTCTTTCTCTTCACTGACAGAAGCTTCAGTAATGAAGCAAAATGCAAAACATTCTCACTAATGGCTTAATTCCCAAGAAAACATTCCAAGTATCTATTATAGAATTTAAAAATCATTAGCATAAGTTAATTGTACAGAGGGGTTGCATTGTGATATTTACATGCGTGCATGACCAAATTCAGCCCGTCTACATTACTCTTTCCTCTTTCCTTACTTCCTTTCCTTCCTTCCTCCTTTCTTCCCTCCTTCCTTCCCTTCCCTCTCTTCCTTCCTTCCTTCCTTCCTTTTCTTTCTTCCTTTCTCTCTCTCTCTCTCTTTCTTTCTGTCCTTCTTTTTGAAGGGACTGGAGTTTGATCTCAGGACTTTGCACTTGCAAAGTAGGTGCTCTATGACTTGAGCCACACCTCCAGTCCATTTTACTCTGGTTATTTTGGAGATGGGGTCTTGTGAATATTTCCCCACGCTGGCCTCAGACCTCAATCCTCCTGATCTCAGCCTCCCTAGTAGCTAGGTTTATAGGTGTGAGCCGCTGGCACCCAGTTATATTACTTTCTTAGTCCTTTTTGCCCCCTTCCTCTCTAACAGTTTCTGGTAGGTTTCATTATACTATTTTCATACATATATATAAAATCTACTTCTCTTATGCTCATCTCCCCCCATCATCCTCCACCTTCTTCGTGGTTCCCCCTACCCAAATCATACCATATTAATTTTTTAAGATCTACATTCCACATATGTGTGAAAACATGTGGTATTTGTCTTTCTAAGCTTGGCTTATCTCACCTAACATGATAACTTCCAGTTCTACCCATTTTCCAACAAATGACTACTATGTAATTTTATTTTTCTAAACACATGAAATATTTGTTTGTCATCAATGCTGAGATGTGCAATAAAAATCCTGCAGGAAATGTAAGTAACTTACCTTTGACATCCCCATTATTCAGTGAAATAACACGTCAAGTTCCCTGTAGGCTTTTCTTTTTCCACTATGGGCATGCAGGCGAGGTAGGAAAAAAGATGCTAGAATTTCAATAGAAATGTTAGGTAATACGCTAGAAAGAAGAAAAGTTAGCAAAGCATATTCTACAGTCAGCCCCTATGCCATGGAAAAGCAGTTAATCCAGTCTCATTTAGGGGTAAAGTCCCTAAATGCAAAAAAGAAAGAAGAAATGAAAAAAGAAGCAAAGAAAGAAAGAAGGAATGAAAAAAACAGTGAAGGTACAAATGTTTCATAGCAACCCAGTTTTCCTGCCTATGGGGCACTGGGATAAATGAGTAAGAAGGCAGAAATGAACAGGGTGTAATATTTTTCAGGTCAAATAGCTCAAATGAATGGCTTAATGGAAGATATTACTGCAAGATTCACTTAGAAACATCTCTGATCTGAACCAGGCATGATGGTACACACCTAGAATCCCAGCACTAGGGAGGTGAAGGCAGGAGGATGAGAGTTTGAGGCCAGCTTGAGTTACATAGTGAGATCCTGTCTCAAAAGCATGAAAACAAAGTAAATTCTTTGTTCTGGAGGATGTAGCTCAGTGGTAGTGTTGTCGTCTCATGTAGTCTCTAATCAGAAGACACCCAGATTGTTTGTGTCCATGGTGGAGGAATCCAGGCAGAACATGTGGATATATGAAGGAAATTTATTATAAGTGAGGGAGGAAATCACAAAGGGCCTGCGTGATCTCTACCATGCCAGTGGAGAAGCAGCAAGCAGGGAAGACAATGAGAGGGCTTTCAGTGTCAAGGCTTTTAGACCCTTAGGTAACCTGTGGGAAGGGAAAGATTTGGGCAGTTCCTGATGGCCAGTGGTGAGTGGAGAGAGAGAAAATGATCAACCTGAAATGTAATATGTTAAGACATGTATGTGTAAGAGTCCCAGTCATTCCTATTTTTTTTAGCCTGCCTCAGTAGAAAGTTTGCCTAGCATGCACAGGTCCCTGGGTTCCATCCCTAGCACAGCCTGGCTTACCCCTTTGTCAGCTGGCCTCTGTCTCCCAACTCTCTCTCCAAGTCTCTGAGCTGCAGCCACATCAGCCTCCTTTCACTTCAGGAAGAAGCAAGCCCCTCCTTCTCTCAAAAGTGGAGAGGGAGAGCTTGACATGGTGGCACACACCTATAATCCCAGCACTCAGGAGGCTGAGGCAGGGGATCCTGAGTTAGAGGCCAGTCTGGTCTACATAGCAAGTGCAAGTTCTAGGCCAGCCTGGGCTGCATAGGGAGAAAAAAAAAAAAAAAGAAAGAAAAAAGTGAAGAGTCCAGAATGATGCAAGAATTGAAGGAGGCACTCACTCTCCTGAGTGTCTCCTTAAATTTAGGTCACTAGGTGCCTCTCTTGCCTCATCCTAGTCCATGCTCTCTGCAACTGTGGTAACAGAGAGCAACTAACTGTTAGGGCTGCCCAATACAGTTACCATCCAATAGCAAGGCAAGCCTCTTCGCAGGCAGTGTTCTCCCACCTACGGATGAGAGGACCAGGACTAAGAGAGGTGAAAGAACCTGCTCCAGGTTACAGGACTGGTGAGCGGCGGAGTAGAAACTCACATCCAGGCCCTCCCGAAACTACTCTCAAGGCCTCCAGAGACACAAGATCCATGCTAAACTGGCTGACTTCTAAGGATCTGAAGCTAGGGTGGCCCTCGCACGTCCCCTGGTGGTAGAATATGGTGTGGCAGCTAGAGCCTTTTTTCTGGTGGTTAAGCCCAGACCTTCCTGCTGCCAAAGAAAGTCTTTCACCTTTGACCTGCTCTGGAGGAGAGCTATCCATGCTTATCCACTAATCCTTCAACTATAAGGGAAAAAGCTCTCAACTCTTTATTTTGAACAATGTCAAGCCTACAGAACAGCGCAAAGAACATGACAATGAATACCTATTTTCACTTCATCAAGATTCTCCCCTTATGCCAGACGCTGGTGGCTCACGCCTCTAATCCTAGCTACTCGGGAGGCTGAGACAGGGAGAATCGAGCTTCGAGGCCAGCCCGGGCAAATAGTCCGCGAGACCCCATCTGCAAAAAATAACCAGAGCAAAATGAACTGGAGGTGTGGTTCAAGCGGTAGTGCACCTGCTTTGAGAGCGCAAAGCCCTGAGTTCAAGCCCCAGTCCCATGTTACACAAGAGTCCTGATCTCTTGCTCTCCTTCAGTATCTCGTCCTCGCTCAGGACGGCTGGGTTCGAGGAGAGGAATGTGGACACATCCCTCCCTGACAACCAGGTCCAGGATCCGGACAAGTAAATTTCACCACCCTCAGCACCAGAGCATCCGAGTCTTTCAGTAGGGTTGGAGCACTGGAGAGAAGGGCAGGAGGGAACATTGTGCAGGCGCAGAAGGCGCGCACCGGACATACTGCGCACGCGCACCGGACATACTGCGCACGCGCACCTCTGTAGACCGACGCCCTTTTCCTCCCACGGCGCCCAACTTCCGGTTCTCGCCCCGCCCCTTGCGTTGCCATGGACAACCGGCAGCCCAAGCCATCCTGTGGCTGCGCAGCGGGCCTGTTTTCGTCTTGCGGACTTTACGGGCAGTGACATTGGGAACTATGGAAGTTGCGAAGAAGAACACCGAAGCGACCGGGAAGCGGTCGGGACTGGGCCGTTGCCGTCATTTCTTTTGGTTGGGCATCATTTTCGACACGGTGGGCACGGTGGTGCTGTTCGTTGGCGTCTTTGCAGACCTGCTCTTCTACGACATGCTGCTCTACCTGGGTTCCATAATCATCTTCGTGAGCCTGCTCTGGTGGATCTCCTGGTACACCGGCAACATCGAACTTCCCGAAGAGACCACGGCGGCGAACTCAGAGCCCTCCACGCCCGCGGTGGAAGCTCTGCGCCAGAGCGTCAGCCACCGTTTCTCCATGTCCATCGGGACGGTCTCCAGCACCTTCCTACGAATCCGCCGGCAGCGGCGCATCCGGAGGGTCCTGCAGAGGACCGCTCACCTGAACGCCGCGGGCCAGCAGGAAAAGGACAGCAAGGGCACAGAAGAGGAGGGGAGCGGCGCCCCTCAAGATGTGGACAAAGACAGTGTGCCTGTCACGCCCCAGGATGGCAAAGGTTCAGAAGCAGCCGGCTCCTCAGGCCCTCCGGCTGGTAGGTCGACCCCTGTCGTGCATCCTGTGTCCCCTCTGGACCAGCCGAAGCCTTGCCCTGTCCAGGGGTCTAAGAGTCTGCCTGTGGTCTCATTGGGTGCTTCTCACCAGCTGCTCAGCATTTCTGCCTCTAAGAGCCAGCCTACCCTTTCCATGCCCGCTTCCAGCCAGCTTGCAGTTACCCTTGTCCTGGCGAGCCAGCCTGCAGTCCCCGTGGTTTCGCCGACCCACCCAGCGGTGCCTGTGGTCTCCTTGCAGAGCCACCCTCCTATACCTGTGACATCAAGGCAGCCTGAAGTCCCCATGACCTCGCGGAGCTACCCACTGGTGTCTGTGGTCTCCGCGCAGAGCCCCTTTGGGCCTGTGTCCTCGAAGAGCTTCCCTCAAGTGCACTGCCTGGTGCCTGTGGCTGCTCAGAGCCACCCGCTGGCAGGCGTGGATTGTCGGGGCAATCTCCTTTTGTCTGTGGCCTCTCAGAGCCTCCCTCTGGTACCTGTGACCTCTCAGAGCCATATTCAGGTCCCTCTAACCTCGGAGGACCAGCTCAGTAATCCTCCTGTGGACTCTCAAAGCCAGCGTTCAAGTGTACAGACTGTGCAACCCCAGGCCTCTCCATCTATCAAGAACTTTCGGGCTCCGTTTCACATTCACCGGACCTCCCAGAACATCCCTGTAGTCCAGAACCCTTCTCAGAGTCAGTCTTCACATGGCCCGGGGGTTTCTCAGATGAAAATCGCCCCACCTTTTCAGAGTGTGCCACTACTCAGCCAGAAACCAACCCAAGAGCCCCCTGACACTGTGTCACCCACCCCTGAGGCCCAGCAGTCCCTTACCAGTGACAGCGCTCCAGCCGAAGTGGCAGAGAAGAAAAGCCACCCTCTCTAGTGAGGACCAGACCCCAGCCGTTTGACAGGCTGCTCAGGCCTCTGCCAAGTAAGTGCCTTTGGAGGGAGATGCATTACCATTCCCCTTTAATTATTTCCAAGATCCTGTTCCAGTGGCTTCCTCAACTCCGCCTGCCCAAAGAATAAAGTTAGTGGAAGTAAGGTGACCCTGGCCTTCAGGGTTTAGCTACTTTTGAATGTTGATAGGTTTTTAAAATTTGTGCTCTGAGTGGATGAGGGCTAGTGCTTGACTTGCTCTACTGGATCATGAAATCATTCCTTTTATTTAGGCTTAACAGAAAGAGAGGTCATTGTATTGTTTTGGGAGGTATAAGGTATGGGGATGAGGGGGGTCTGCAAAATTTCTGGAACAAGATGATTTCAGGTGGTCTAGGAACATGCCATTAAATGACATTGAGTCCTAGGTTGGGGAAGTTATCCCTCTCAGGGCCTCGCACTACTACTTGAGCCACTTCGCAGCCATCATTTAAGTAAAAAATAGTTTACGGGAATTAATTGAAAGGTAAGAGTTAATTGTACACGTGAAACTTGAATGATTCTGAAACCTGGAATATTTGGCTAGTTTTAAACTCCAAAAACCCTCATGATACCCTGCTCAGTGATTTTCTGGAGAAGCCAGTCAAGGACAAACTCCACTTACTTACCCAATCCTTTGTCACTCAGAAGGGTAGAAAAGGTCCTGTGAAGGCCGGAATTGGTGAGCCTGCTTCCCCGGGGCTAAGTACTTCATAATGATATGTGTTGCTCTACTTCAGTTTCTTGATTTTTTTTCTCTCCAGTCATGTTCTGTTTGAAGAATAAGAAGGCTAGGCATGTGACTCCATGGTAAAGCACCTGCCCAGCATACACAAGCCCTGGGTTTGATCCCAGCACTGCCAAAAAAAAAAAAAAGCAAAGGACCGATGAACTATAATTCCTAAAGGAAAGGACTCAGTGTTACTGCAAGAGGTCATTTTCCCCCTTGACTTTAGTCTTCAGGGTGATTTATATGATTGAAATTCTTCTCTATGCAATTCTTAGGACTTGAGCACTTCCTGAGTGCCAGGAATAAGGTAAGGGAAAAGATGATGCAAACCTTCCCACGAAACAACTTTGAAGTCTTTGTTTTCTAAATCAAAGAAGTAACTCTAGAGAGAATTTTAGCCCATAAAGAAGGAAGAGTTGGCTCCTTAGCAGACCAGTGGGAGGATTATCTCCCTCATTTTCTACCTCTCTGTCTCTGGCCATACTGAGTTTTAAACTCAGGGCCATGTACTTGCTAGGCAGATGCTCTACCATTTGAGCTATGACACCAGCCACCAGAATCAATGATCTTTTTGGCAGAAAGAGCCATCAGTGTCCTTCAAATAATTAATTCACTGACAGGGCATTTGCAAGTGCCAGGCATTGTATTAGGCATTGGTGATGAAGTTCCTGCTGACCAAGCACTCGCTATTTGTCAAGGCAGATGGACTCAGGAAGGAGGAAAATTCCACTGAGGGCTGGGTGAGGGATGCTTGAGTTGGATCCTAAAGCAGGTGAAGAAAATGGAGAAGACTATTCCACATGAAGGGGAAAGCATCATCACAAAGGCACAGAGGTATAACAGTGTGTCTGACGTTGAAGTGAGGAATTGAAATGGGGCTAGATGGCAAAGGGTCTTTGCAGGCGCTGTAAGTGTTTAGGAAACTTTTTTTTTTTTTGGCAGTACTGGGGTTTGAACTCAGGACCTCACACTTGCTAAGTAGGCCCTCTACCACTTGAGCCACTCCACTAGCCTTGAGAAACCTTTGAAAGCTTTTTTTTGAGTTCCAACCTGGCCTCAAACTGAAGATCCCCCTGCCTCGGTCTCCCAAGTACTGGATTTCTAGGCATGTGTCACCAAACCTGGCTTCTTTGGTGGCTTTTTAAATGGGGTTGAGTTGTATTCATAATTTGCAATTCTGCCTGTGGCCTCTGCTATAAACTAATGGCAATAAGCCAATAATTGAGATTAATTGCCAAGCCTGAAAATAGACTGCTTAGCTATTAGCAACAGTTCCTAACCAAAGCACAGGCTCCATGGGCATTCATCTTGCAAAACACTTTCAGGTGTTTACTTTCTTCTACAAAACATTTTTGTTTTGACAATAAAGATAACATGATGAAGCACAAACACCAAGTATTATTACACATTTCTGGGTTTTTTGTTTTTTTTTTTTTTTGGTGGTAGAAAAGTTTGAACTTAGCCTTGCATTTGCTAGTGAGGTGATCTACCACTTGAGCCACACCACACCCATTTTTTGCTATAGTTATTTTTCAGATAGGGTCTCTTGTTTTTGCCCAGGACCAGCATCAGACTGTGAGCCTCTTACCTATGCCTCCTATGTAGCTAGGATTACAGATGTGAACCACTGTGTTTGGCTGGGCAGGCATAAAACTGCTATCCTCCCAATCTCCCCCACCCACATAGCTGGGATTACAAATGTGAGCCACCACTCCTGACCACAGTTCTGTATGGTGGCAAGTTAAGTACTTATCTAAAACAGGAGTCATAGATTTTTTTCTATAAAGGCCAAGATAGTAAGTATTTTATATTTTGTGGGCCAAAAGCCAAAATCAAAGATATTATGACCCTACTCACATTACAAAAGAGAAAGCTTCTGCCCTGATGTGTCCTGTTTGCCTGGAGTAGGCTGTACTATTTCTTTGACTCAAGTTGTGCCATCTGCAGTCATTTATATGACCAGGAGCAACTGGATTAAGGAGGAGGGGCCTTGCTGGGCAGACCTGCTCACTCTTCCCCATTGACACTCAGATCTGGGCTTATCCTCCCAGAATACCCAGCCTTCTCAGCTTGGTTTGCTGGCATAAGAGGTAAGATTTGCTAAGCCTTTGACTGCCAGATAGGCAGACTGCCTTTCAATGCCTGGGATTTGCCAATAGCCGAGTCCTTAATGTATGGTGATGCATAGGTCCTGGGAAGGCCACTGGCCAGAGAGGTAGGCCCTGGGAGTGCTTAACTCAAAACTGATGCTCTAGCTTGGTCTTTAAGGCTTACATAGAGAGTCCACAGTAGTACAAGAATGGGGTAGGGAGGGACACTGCTGGTGTCTAGTGGCTAGAGCCAGAGATGCTGCCAAACACCCTGACAGTGCACAGCACAGAATTATGGCTCAAAATGACAGCAGTGTGAGACTGAGAAACTAACCTAAAAAATTGCCAGGCGTGGTGCTCGTTCCTATAATCCTAGCACTCAAGAGGCTGAGGCAGGAGGATCAAGGGTTGGAGGCCAACCTGGGGTACAAAGAAAGACTTTATCTCAAAAAAAAAAAAAACAACCAAAAAAAGTAAGACTGGCTTCAGTGGCTTACACCTATAATCCAGCTATTCAGGAGGTGGAGATTGGGAGGATCGAGGTTGGAGGCCAGCTTGGGCAAATAAGTTATTAAGACCCCCCATCTCAATAAGGTGGGCACAGTGACACACACTGGTGATTTGAGCTATGTAGGAGACAGGTATAG